CCCCAAAACCCCAAAACCCCAAAACCCCAAAACCCCTATTAAATCGACTTAAATTGACCAAAGTTATTCTATATAAAATCTGTGAAATTCTGAATAAAATTCTTGGAAAAATTATTTAAGAAAGATAATGCCCAAACTTTGAAGCATGTGTTCTAGTTGTACTAGGTTTTTTATCAGAATTTTCAACAAAATCCCATAGCCTCTGAGGCCCTTGATAGCCATCTAAAGAGTCACATCAATTATTTACCTTTAAACTTATGCTTCCCAAGGATGTACTGTATATGATCATCATTGGATGATCTTTCGGGTACAGGCTGGAGATTCCCATACATCCTCAAGGCATTAGCTTTATTAAGCTTCTTTGGAGTTTGCCAGCTACATTCGTCCTGATAGTTCTTTCTTTCCTTTAAATTTTGCATATCAATAGTAAAATTTTTGTGTTCTTCAGATAAGCGCTTGCATTTTCTCCCTAATCGAGACATCCTAGATTCCTTCTTATCAAATTTGTGCAGATCTATAGTTGAATTCAAGCTCTGCCTTAATCCTTGAGTTCTGACCGGATCTTTAATATCAATGGAGGAACTGTAGTCATTATAAAGACGGGCTGTAGACTTGTTAGCATTCTTCTGAATCTTTATCTTAGCATTCGCGTTCCTTATATAACTCTGGATAGTGCCCCTCTCTGTTACATTTCTGCTCTTCTTCAAATCTTTTGTGCTTGAATTTGAGATCATTTCCTTATGCTGGCCTGCTCTTACGTTCCTTGACCCATGAAGTGTTGAGTTCTTTGGATGTAGACTCTCCTTCTCAGAAGGAGTTTTAGTATTATTAGTTTGATTTCTCCAACTTTTCTCTAAAGCTTTCCTTTTCTCTTCCAATTTCTTTGCCTTTGTAATAACATCTTCATAGTTAGTATTTAGATACATTAACTTTCCTGAAGATTTTGTTACAGGTGTTTTATCGTATGGCTTTGGATTACTAGGTCTCCCAAATGAAGAATTCATATTAAGGTCCTTATGGCTTGCCTTTGGTCTTAATTCTGTCTTCAAAGCGTTTTTCTGGACCTCTGGTTTTCTTTCAATAGACTTTTGGTTCTTTCAAGCAGTCTTAAACATCTTTTGATTAGCATTGATTGTCTTTATATTTATCTTGTTTTCTTCAAGATGAGGATCGGCAAGAGAGTTTGGGTTCTTTTTCAAGTCTAGTTTTCTTAATTCCGAGAGTAGATTTTTGCCACTCATATTGTTCCTAATCCTTGAAGAATGCTTTTGAAGGTGCTCTGATCTTTTCTCACGATAATTTACTAAGTCAAGTTTTTCGAACCTGCTATGTACCGGCTCTCTGTGAAGACTTTGAGGCCTCTCAGGAGTTTCAAGTTTATTATTAGGAGTAGTCATTAAATTATTTTTGAGGAACTTCTTGTATTCTCTCTTGAGTCGGTGGCTTCATTCCAAGCCCACTCTGTGGTTTAGGAATATTCTCTACTCGCTCTGGCTTGGGAGAACATAGGAAACTGCTGGCCATATCACTCCAAGCCACTGAACTTCTCTTGCCAGAGCCTACATAACTTTGATCTAGGACATTATTAACTACAAAGTGTTTATCAGATTCCTTCTCGCTGGCCACTGGGCCTCAGTCAACATAGCTGCTTTCATCGATCCATTTATCCTTGCTTTCTTCCTTGGCTTGCTTAATTTCCTGCTTAAGGTCTTCCAAGCTTCAACAGTAGAGGGCTCAGCAGATCTGTGTGACTGCTTTGTCTCTTAAGGACTTAGTCTTGAAGTTTAGCTCAAAACCGGTTTCGTTCTTGAGTGTGAATTCGTAGGAAGAAGGTAACCCAGTGAGCTTCTTGAGCCAGGAATGAATCTTTGTGATGCAGAAGGAGGTCAGAGGACTCAGAGAGGGCTGACTAGGTGTGTAGGTCATCATCATTGCAAAAATAAATTCTAAATATTTTAATCTACTGAAACGGGGTTTTGGGGTTTTGGGGTTTTGGGGTTTTGGGG